CTGATAACTGTTTTTTTAGAAGACCGCTGAATCCTAGTGCTGTTTAGGAAAAGGGCTAAACCCAAACCATGCAGTGCTGAAAGAGAAGGGACATTTGTAAGAAAGTGACCACCAAGGACACTGGACTGTGCTTGAAGATGAAATGACCATATGGTTGGCATGAGAATTGTTTTGGATAAAATCTGCTAAAGATGTCAAATGCAAAAAGGCAGGAATTCATTTTAATGAGTACAGTAGCTGAATTCTGCAAGGGCTAGAGCCTCAGACAAGACATGTTTAACTCTGCATAGGCTGGCGGTCTCTCCCTCCCTCCCTCCCTCCCTCTCTCTCTCTCTTTCCCTCCCCTCCCCTCCCCTCCTCCCTCCCTCCCTTCCCTCCCAATTCAATTTTAGATGCCGTTTGAATTAGTTTTCTTTTCATCTCTGAATCATAGCTGTATTTTTCATAAGGCATTTTATGGAAGACCATTTGATAGACCCATCAAGGACAAACATTAAGATATCCTTAGAGTTAAAAGAGTTCTCTTAAGGAATTGACTTTTAATTGTATTTTAACTCTAAGCTTCTGAATGATCAGCTACTGCTTAGCTTACATTATATCTTTATTTTGTATTTTATTTTATTTAAATTTGATTTTTATTTCATTCGGATTGTATTTTTAGTGTGTTTTATTATGAATCGCCCAGAGAGCCTCTGCCAGTGGGCAGTTTACATAAATAAAAAAATAAGTCAAACTGCAACCATAATTAGATGTGCTTAAATGACCACTCAATTACCTATCTTGCCTAGGCCAGTATTGGTGTCTGTATATTTTTAGGCGTAGCCTGTTCTGCAGAGAACAACATTTAATTAGAAATCAAGTTTCATCTTGAATTCTGTTTCTCTTCTTGATCTATATTGGTATTATGGAAATGGAGTAATTTGTGCTCATATTGAAAGTCGAGAAGTGAGACAGGCAAGATAGAACCTGCCTTTAAAGGGATGATATGGTACCCTAGTTGTGTACTTAGCCACTGGCAGGTCTGATGTCAGTCACTTCAGAGACCTTTAGACCTCCATGCTCATTTACTGCTCAAATGTACCAGCTCTGCTTCTGCATTATGAAGATCATCTGTCAACACTCTGAGATATTCCCCTTTGTTATTAAGCTTGTGATGCTCTACATACTGTCAGTTTTTTTTTTTGCCAATTATAGTTAAAGTACAATAGTGTATTCACTGGATCAAAGTCTCTCACTGGCAGTGGAGGAATGATTTGTAAGTCTTTATTCATCTGAATTGTACAATAGAATACCTGAGGAATGCAAATAATCTCTCTAAGGACTCAACAGAAAAGCCCTTAAAATGAGTGTAGCACTATTATTATTCGGAATTGGTGTTTTAGCCAAAGTAATTATTTCTTATCTTGTTTCACAGCATTCGTGGTTTCAATTATGGTGACCATATTTTTTTTCTTTTTTAGAAAAACAAAAACTTGCATTGGATTTTAGAAATATTCTAAAACTTTTTTTTTAAAGAAATGTTCTCAAACTGTTTTTCTTTTTATGTGTTTATTTAATTGCTTTGCGCTTCGTTTTAGATACAGTCTAGGATGCTATCCTAGTTTGTGTGTATGTGTGTGTTAAGCTTTTGCTTTTAGTTACATCTAAAATAGTTGCATAGATTTTAAGAGATTTTTTTTCAGAATAGTCTGGTAATTCACCCCCTCATCTGTGGAACAGTTCCACGAAGCAGACCTCTACCATGCTCTGTCACAGTGGGGCTTTTTTTGGGTGGCAACCTAAAACCAAAATTGATCCTTTAAATACAAAGTTCGTATAGAAAAGAATGGGGTTAACAGGAATTTCAGCAATGGAGCGGTTTCCCACTTAGAGCCAATTCATCCCTTTGTTCATCAGAGTGGAAACCTTCAGTTTTCTTTCTAACATGTTCCTTATGGTTTGGGGAGGAGTCATCCTGAAAAGCTGTGTCAATTAATTCTACAAATTAATTAACCCAGCCCCCAAACCAGATGAAATTCTGCGATGACAACTGTACAGGGCTTCCTTTGGAACAGGAAGGAGGGGTCAGGCAAGCCAGCAGCTGCGTGGAAAGAACTCCACTTACACTTGGGATCTATGAATGATACAAAACTGCAGGCAATATGTAATATATGAATTTAAGGTGTGTTGTATTTCAATACTTAGTTAGACCTTTCATTTTGCGGTTTTCAGACTATGGCTAAAGCTATTTTGGCAATATGAACTAAACCTTTGGCGTGCAATTCTTTAAATAATCAATGCAAATGACAAAACAAATGAAACCACAAGTTCATCAACTCTCATTTGTCAGAGAGAATAGCAGGGGATCACAGCTATTATGAGATTAATTGACACAGCTTTTCAGGATGACTAGAAGCCCCACAATATCTTAGGGCTGTGCAAGGGTGGTGATGATCTCAAATCAATGTACAGCATGCAGAAAGGGCTTGGTTACAGTGGTATTTCAGTTAAACATAGATTG